CTGCGACGCGCTGATGAGATCCAAAAAGATCGAAATCGCGATCCACGTCTGGCAGTTTCGACAAAATACAGACCACTTCGAATTATTTTATTCGATTATGGTAACGTGCCTATCACGTTAAGGTTAGCTACGCCGGGATTCGTTTCAGCAAGTAGATATCCATATATTTAAATGGAACTTGTTGGAGCGTACGTAATCCTAAAATGTAGCATCGTACTACAGATGGCGTTTACCGCGCCATTTGTGGTATTTTCTATTCTGTAGAATATTTAGTATGTTCAGGGGGTGTCTTTCGAAGATTTCCCCTCCTCGAGAATAATCTAAACAAAAAACATATATATTTAGTATCAGCATTGCACCCGTGCGAAGCTGGGGAGGGTCGCTAGTTTTATATAAATAAAAAAAGTATCGTGCTAAATGAAATTATTATAAACACAAACGAAGGCTTTGTATATTTCGATTTTATAATATATAAACCCATACGTCTATTATTTCCGTCACAATGAGATTTTAGATACCTATATACACCACCAACAATGTTGTGGATAGTCGAAGAGCGTAGCAGTGAGTAACAATTAGTATATAAAGATAACGTTATGAATTATTAAACCAATCTTCGCAAAGGATATTGATTTTCAGGCAGTCGCTTTCACTTCCTTTCGCAAGAAATACGCTTACTTGCAAATTCTTCTGGAAAATTAGCTAATTTCAGAAGCAACTTTAATAATAAAAGTAAATAAGGCACAAACAAAACCTTCCTGAAAACAGTTTCGATAAAACTTTTTAACGTTAAACGTAAATAATTGACGAAAACTTTTATTAAAGATAAACCCATTCGTACATTATATGAAACTCAAGTAATTTAATAAATACAAGAGTAGAAGAAAGTTACTTCCAAAAAGAGGAATAAGAACTTTCATGTGAGACACACCATAAGACTGTTCACCGAAAGGATTAACTGACACAAAATGTCTTTCATGAATACAAAATTTATGTAGAATTCTTACAATTCATTAAGATATAACGGAGCTTAAAATAAAATTAAACTTCAAAACAGTACTATACGAAAATAAATAAAAGTAAAATAAAAATACTGATATGCAAGGGAAGAAAAAGTAGGGAAAGAGTGAATATAAAGATAGGAAACGAAAAATTAGAAGAAGTGGTCAATTCTAGGTATCTAGAAAGTCAAATAAGTCAGGACGGAAGGAGTAGTAGGGGTATGTTTGGAGCGCGGCGCTGTACAGGTGCGAAACATAGACGGTGGACGTGGCAGAAAAGAAAAGGTTAGAAGCGTTCGAAATGTGGTGTTATATAGGCGAATGATGAGGATACCGTGGATAGAGAAGGTTTGAAATGAAGAGATAATAGAAAGAATAAGAGAGCATAGACCTCTATGGAAGTCAATAAGAAATAGGCGAAATAGGTTAGTAGGACACCTTCTCAGGCTTGAAGGTCTAGTCAGAGACATATTAGAGGCAGAAACAGGAGTTAGGAGGGGTAGAGGTAGACCTAGATTAGATTACTATTCGCAAAAAGTTAAGGATGTGGGTTGTTCTAGTTTTAGGGAAAAGCGAACATTAGCTCAAGATAGGAAAGAGTGGAGGTGCATGTCCAACCAATTTTAGGACTGACGACCTTCTGATGATGATGAAAAGTTTTAAATAGAAACTACTTGCTACTTTAACTTCAATATTTCTCTTATGACGGACTTGCACTTCTTTAAAGTCGCATATAATATCTTTAAAGGTTCTTTAATCCTTAGAAAGGATTACAAAAGCGGCATCATATCTTATCCTTATTATTGATTCTATCCTTTTTATAAATTAAACAACTTCTTTCTTCGTAATTCCGGAAATTGTATTTATAAAACGTGAGAAAATTGAAAACCACAAAGTAAAGCACAATTTTATTCAGAACTTGCTTGAATTTTTTGATTGAACATGCGAGAAAGTCTCTTCAATTTTATTTTGTCGTTGTTTCAGATGTAGAATTCGTCTACAGGGACTCATATGGAGGTCTTACACTGTACAACGCCGAAAATTTAACTACCAAAGTTTTGATGACGAACGCTACTTTTGTAAGTAAAATCTTTTTGTACTTTTCATTATGCATTTAACTTTTCTTTATTTATTTATTACCTACTATAGGTTTTGTATCGACAACCACATAAAACTAATTTTTCTATCCCTCGGGAACATTTTTTTCTGAATAAATGGTACCCTATGTCCTTTTCTATACTCCTATCAAATAGTGTACAAAATTTCTTGATGATCGGTTTCATTTAATAACTTTCGGATATAGGAAATTTTTTTTTTTTAAATATTATTTTAAAATTCATCAGGAATTATTATACATTATAAATAGACATTTATACAAAGTAAGTAGGCGTATACCTTTTCGCAAATATGACATTCTGCATATACTTATATACATAGGTGAAGGGATATTTTATATTTTATTACTTTCTTCGAAGTTCTACCGCTATAATATACGATACGTCTATAACCGTAAATAGAATTGACAGCATTATTTACATATTCCTGAAAATCGATTTTGTGACGTCAGAGAGAAAGCCAGAAGAGCGGTCACTACCCTACGTATGTAAAGTTTACTGTTCTCTTTAATACGTTTCTAATTATTTAAAATAAAATATTTATATTTATATCCTTCTAAATACCAAATGATGATTACTTTACGACAGGGTGAGACTAATTATAAGAATCAATAAATAAATTCAAATAAACGATCAAATGACGCCTTGACGATTTATCTTGACATTATCTTGGAGCAATATAATTTGAATCTGTTAGCAATTAAACTAGAAGAGGGTAAATTTTAGTTGACAGATTTCGAGCTGTTTTATTACTCCGCAATGAACATTGAACATGCAATCTAATTTAATTTCCAAAAAAGCGAATGATTGGGATCCGTCAAATGGGCATACACGATCTGGTGGCAAAATTTATAACTCGAATGAGGGAAAAATTTACATAGGAACTGTGCACGCAAATTGTAAAATTGTTTATTAAAATATTAAAACACGTTAAAAAAGTAAAATTTTTTTTTAGGATGGTGTCGATGAAGTTTTCTTCTAAAGTTAAATCAAATAAAAAGTTAATATGTTCAATGAAAAGCTGCAATAGCGTTTCAGACATAGATCTTCACTCTTCACCTACATTAATTGCTTTCTAATAAAAACTAACCGTTTTATATATGTAAAAAATATATTCGGAAAATTAGAGAAAAAAGTAAACTAAGTAAGAAATTATTTATTCCTGTGTAATTGATTTAACACAATTCTAATGATACCGTATAAGTATTTTGAAATTATGAACCTACCTGCTGCAATACAACAAAGTTGCAATAATGTGTTCGCAACGTTCCCTTAAATCGGCTTTGCATGTGCAAGTCATTGATATGATATTGCTTAAATCACCCAGAATCACCTCACCAATTATATAACGTGAATCATTTTTTAAATCCGAAGTTTGTAAAAAGTAGGCAGTAAACTTGACGGAATTTGAAGACTAGCTTCCGGATTTGTTATTTCCGAATTTTATAATGTGATTGGCATTAAAAACACGCTCACCTTCAACGAAATTTCCTTTTCGAGGCTTTGTGTGAGCCCAATCACATATTGTGTCAATACTTATCATTTTATCGTAATTTAAAAACTTGGAAATTGCACGGTACACTATATAAGAACTACTATACATTTTCCCTAATCGGCGCCATGTTTTTAGGCTCCTCCCATTTGACGGATCCCAATAGAAAGCTTTTTAATACTGTTTTCAACATCGATCACAAAATATATGAACATATACTAATGGAAGTTTAAAGAACTAGAAGCCCACATTTCTCATTTGCTACTTCAGTAATTTTTATGTTACTTTAGATAATATAACTACAATATTATGAAAAAAGAAGACATTATTACCAATTCTAGCATAAGAATTGTTTGAAACTTAGACTAATATCCGTTAAATTATGAATTTGCTGTATGTCAAATTACAGTCTTATTGGTTTACAATTTTGATATTCATCTAAAAAGAAACGAAAAACGATTTTTGCTTTAATATGACAACTGATTGTAATGGATCAAGACCAGGAATGAGGTTACGCCCACAGGATTATCCAAGAATTACATCAAAGATCAGGACTCTTCGCTTTCATAAAAGAAGAAACACTTTAACTGGCTTGCCAGTCAAAATTATTAAGCAACTTCGTAACATAATTTATTTTCTGAAATTCAAAATCATACACCTGTATAGCATACAGTTTTCAAACTTTTTTTAAATCACGAAATATGTCCATCAAATTTTTTAGTTGTTTATACTGGGGCTAGGTGAAATCCGGCATCAAAAGATTTTTATGTGTCTATTTTTCGGTCAAACGGATTTAATTAAACAGCTACTGTGGCCAGTGCTATAAATTTTACGATGATCCTGAGACCAATTTAGTTTTTATTTCTAGTGATATCTCAAACCATTCCGAAGATACTGTGGCAGTGTGCAGTTTCTTACTCTGTAGGAGGTAATATTGGCAATACAGGAGTATATTGACAATCGTAGACTATTATGATTCCTTTCCGTTACATCCCTTAAAATAAAATCAGTTAGGTACATCCTCTATCTTTGTCTCTTAATTCCTATAATTACCAGAGACGTAAAAAATAGTTATAGGTAATGATGTATTAGAAAATAGAAAATGCAAAATAGATATTTTACAATACCCTCTACGTATTACAGCTTTTTACTTTTTCACATACGTTAACGATAAAATACATAAATTATTTTAGTATTAAAAATTCTACTCGGTCTTTTATTTAAGATATATCTCATGAAAAGTAAAATTGACGAGCGAGAGATCTGACAGTAGATCTAAATCGATAATCAAAGGTTGCTGGGCACCTTACTCTAGGTTAGAAGTAAATGTAAATACAGTGGAATTCGTTTATTATGACTCCGCCTATATTGACCAACCGCTTAATATGAAGTAATTGCAGTGTTAAGTTTGGTTTTCATATTAAATTCTCTATAGAAAAGGTTGGATATAATGACTCCGTTTAAAATGACATATCGTTTGTTATGACTGATTCACAAGAAATCATATCCGGCTATAGTGATCCAAATGATAAACAATAACATTTTCGCTGATTTTTCTGATCCTTCTTATATATGTTGATATTAAAATTCATCGTTCTTTTTCTGTTAATAAATATATACAATTTGTAATTTTTCTCTCTATTAAACTGAATAACTAACCAAAATAGAAAGTTGTTAATTTTCTAAGACTATGCATTGTGTGACGCCCCTTTAGTACGACGTGTTTGTCATTTTCCTTCGATGTCTTTATAAGCGGATTCTACTGTAAACGTATAAAGGATAAATATTCTATGATATATTTGGATTGGTAAGTTGGTCTAATAACACTGCAATCTGGACTCCTGTCGGTTTTATTATGTGATTTTGAGTTAGTTTGTTGTACGTTGTTAGTTTAATTCATGGAAATTCCTGTAAAAAGACATTTGATTGTCTATTTAATGTGAGGTCTGTGTATTTTTATTTTCTACGTATACATTTGTGGTACAGTCGAATTATTGTAAATGGAAACAATTATTTTTCCATTTATGCCAAATGGTTTTGAATGGAATTTACAAATTTTTCATTGATTCCCATTGAACTTCAATGGAAATTTTTCCTACGGGTAGGACCCTTTCCATTGGTACAAGTTTCATTTCGCTTCTTTGGTAATAAATACCTAAAAATCTACCTACCAGAAGTTTGAACATTGACCTATTAAAATATGGCTAATAATATAAACAATGTTGCTTATTGGTCATTCATATATCTAACTTCAAATTATTCTTTATGTTCTTTAGTTGAAGACCGTAAAATGGTTAATAAAATAATATACGTTGGTACATTAGATGCACGTACCATTGCTTTGAGGAAATAAAAACCAATTAATCTCTAACTTCGTACCATGCTCAATTTTAAATGACGTAAGATAAGTAAAGGAATTTTTTCGTGCCAGTAAGAATTCAAAAATTGTCATATGCTTGAGTAGATTTTCTCCACGATAAAAGCAATTTTAGAGTCAAAACAACATAAAATGAAACGGGGAAAGAACACGCCACTACCCTTTATGTCATAAAAATCTTATTATGTAAAAATGGTCGTAAAGTGTTTTATTTGTACCAACCAGAAAGTTGCCTTTTTCATGCAGTTTCTTGAAAATAAACATAAACAGAATATACCTACATACATACCTATAAATAAAAGATTGTCTTAGTGAACCTCTTTCCTTTTTATATTAATATTGTAAGCATATAAATTTTTACGAATATCTGTCCTCAAACAGTATTTTCCTGAAATCCTACAAACGGCACGGTAAACGCCATCTGTAGCACAATGTAATGTTCAATATGTTCAACAAGGTCCATTTACATAGATCGATATCTGCTTACTGAGCTGAAACCGTGGCGTAGACCAAAACCAAGAATGTGTTTATAATAGCAAGACGAAGACCAAGACTAAAACCAAGAACGAACGAACATGGTAGAGACTAAAACCAAGGCCGAATATGCAAGACCAATATCAAATACACAACCAAAAATTATCTACATCCGGTGCACTTAAGATTTAAACTATTTGAAGCAACTTTCATATAGTCTTCTCTTTTTTTTTTTTAATTCATGACAAGCTCGCATGTATGACAGAAAATTTCAACATCTAAGACAATTATTGTGGTGGTAAATAGAAAAGTGTGTGCTTAGAAGAATTATTAAAAAAATACGTAAATGTCAAATTAAATGAGCAAGACCAAGACTTAACACGGAAGACCAAGACTAAGACTGTAGCAGCACGATCAATACTGAGTCCGAGACTATATCAGAAAAACTAAGGCCAAGACTAGAAGTATTTGAGCAAGACCAAAATCAATATCAATGCTAAATGTATATTTCAGCAAAACCAAAGCCAAGGCCGAATAAGCAAGACTAAGACCAATACCAAGACTGGGACCAAGACCAAGGCTATACCAACAGGAGCAAGACGGAGACCGAGACTATATCAA